CCCTACACTTGAATTACCATCTTCATCTTAATTTATATTTTTAATTGTGTCATACTGTTTGGTAAAACTTGATTCTACATGTATTTGAATAATTTATTAATGTGATTGAATACTCTTTTAATTATTTATTATTGATTATTGATGCTTTGATTTGAATACTCATTAATTTATTTAAAATGATCGTGTGTTTCTTTAACCCCTTCCTTTTCCATAATGTACAAACAGTCAGCACACACGAGGAATTAATCATTTTTCAAAACTCTGCACAATGTGCTTTATCTACTTTCGGCCTGCCCATTTCATGCTTACAAACCTTTAATTTCAGCAATGCATATCATTATTAATTTTCAAAATATTTTCCATAATGTACATACAGTGAGCACACACATGATAATACATATTACCTAATTAGTGCAGTTTGATCTGTCATTTTTTTAACAGTTCATCTTTATTTTTATGGAAAAGTTAATTTTTTATCATTAATGCACCTAAAGAGTTGTTCTGGTACATTCTTTCACTCTCATCTTCATTTCTTTCTACTACATTTTTTATTGTTTTATTGGCTTCTTTGTGTGATTTGATATGCATGGCAGCATGAAACATAAGATGAATTGGTAGATGATCAAACTGCAGTATCATAAGTTCCCTTTGGAGGAATCTTGATCCTATAATCGAACCTCAAAATCGATTAGTTTACTCTATCCCTTTATGATGTCTTCATACCTCTCAAAAGTATAATAAACAGATAAATGAAAAGCCCGGAAAGGGGTATCCTTATCCAAAAATCAAACCTCAACACTGTTACTCTCTCCTCTTATCACGTCTTCAACCTCTTATTTAAATTAGAATCTTCATCTTAATTATAATCTAGCATAATAAACTTCAACAATCTTAATTCTATAATTTATTATAAGTTAAATTTTTTTATTGTTTTCTCTATAATTTTTAAGAAAATATATGTATCACTAACTGGTTCTTCATTGATCATGTTTAATGATGCCGGATTCCC